TAATTAGTGGCATTAATAGCGATGTGTGGAAAAGTTGCGAAGCTCATGTTGTAAAAATAGAAAATGAATATCCTGTTTTACCGGCAATAGCACCAATAGTTATACAACCTGGGAACGATTCGACTTCAGAAGACTCTGACGATTCTTTTTAGTCCTTCTAATTAATTTCTTTACAGCTATCGCGATGCATCTTGAACACTAGTATTCATTATTATACAGTGTGTCGCATTTAAGATGAAGACACCTCTATATATCAGCTATCAAAATACATACAGATTAGAAATTTTGCAGTCATACATGTTGATAGTGCACATATTTTTAAGATAGTTAGTTATCTGAAATTTAAATTTTAAACGCGGCTTACTGCGAATCCACAAACAGGGTAAATTTTCGATATTTTGCTTCGCGTTAGAGAAATCGGAAAAACTTATTTGGAAAAGTTATTCCACTTATTGTAACCGCACATTCCAAAATTCATGACAAAATTCGCAATTTTAGTTTTTCAGTATTATTTGTAATCTCGATCCTAAATCTACAATTGGCTGTCTAAAGATGCATCTCGGGACAGCCAACTGTCCGTTTTAGAATCCTGACTACAATTGAAGAGCTTATTTCCAAAGTGTCTTAAATCCATATAATGAAATCCATGAAATTACAGATTTTCATACAAATTTAACATACAAATTATACAATTTTACAATTTTCATATGCACTTTTAAATGGCAAATAAGAAGTTGTTTTGGTACATATAACTTTATTTTAGACTTGAAGAAATCTATAAAGTTTAAAAAAAGAAAATTAAAAAAATCGAAATTTTGGATTTAAGACACTGGAAATAAGCTCTTCAATTATTGAAAAAAGTAAAAGTGCGAATTTTGACATAAAACTTTGTTATGTGGGGTTATAATAATATTTGGAACATCTTTTCCAAATAACTTTTTCCGATATCTCTAACTCGAAGCAAAATATTGAAGATTCACCCTGTTTGTGCATTAACAGTAGGCCGTGTTTAAAAATTAAATTTCAGTTGATTATCTTAAAAAATGTGAATTGACAACCTGTATGACTGTGCAAAATTTCAAATTGGTATTTATTCTAATAGCCGAAATATAGGGGTATCTTCATCTTAAATGCGACACACTGTATAGAGTCAGAACAAAAAAAAACAAAAAACAAAAAAAAATATAAAAACAAAAAAAAAAAAAATAATAAAAACAAAATGAAAAAAAAACTAACTTTATATTCTTACTAACATACCTAACCCTTTCCTTTCCTGGCAAGGAAGGCTCATACCTCCTCGTGGTCCTTGCTGGACAGACAATATTTTGAGATTTTCTGTCCTTGCTGGATAGACAATCTTTTAAAATTTTCTGACAGAATGAACCATTATTTACAGATAATTGTAAAAAAATATTATGGTTTATGTAAAAACTAAATAATAAGTCCAATATTCTTATAAATCACTAAAATTAACAAGCTTTAATTTGAAAGAATTAATTTGTTATTTATTAGATGTTGTGAGCCCGCTCACATTTGAAAAAAAAAACTGATTCTGTCCTTTGAAGATTCCTATTCAAAAATACCGCGTTTAAACAAATCGAAGGTTGAAGGGTGCCGGACATTTTTGCCGGAAACAATTCAAATTCAAAAGATCTCCTTTTTCTGCTACGGAAAATATTACCCCAATTTCTCACCAAAATCAATGTCGAGACTTTAGTTTAAATACTCTTGAATCTCAAAAATACTCATTTACATATTTTTCAAGCCTCGAAAATGCATATTAGGTATCGCATTTTTCGGATTTTAAATCGCCTATATCTCCAAAACTATTAACTTTTGAGAAAAATGACATAGATCTTATTTAGAGTCACCCAAAAACCTAAAAAATATTTTTTGGAGCACAAAAGGTGATATTTTGAATTTGTTTAAAAAATTGTTCTGTAAAAAAAATTTTCCTGAATATAATTATGTAAAAATTAATAAAAATTATGATTTTTCTTGAAATATGCGTTTGATGAACTGATCCCTTTTCTTAATTTCCACGCCAATGGTCGGCATTTGCATCAAAGAAGCTCAAAAGCCGCCACTTGGAAAATTGACTTTGGAAAAAGTATACCAGTAGCAGGAACAATCTTTGATTTTCGGACAATTTTGACCCCATTTTCGGCAATTTGATATAGTACGACATTCATACACATAGTTTCAGATCGTTCGTTATTTATATTATTTTTTTGCGATGCCGTACATATCGGCTGGTAAGTGATGAGAAATCTATGGCGCACCCCTCTATTTTTATGTAGTACCAATGAGGTTATTTGAGCCAATATGAAACTTACTGATTTAAATTTATATTCATAATATAATAAAATTTTTGGACATGCCGTACATTTTTCACGATTCATGTGCTTATGAGAGGAAAATTAATTTCCCTCTGATAAGTAGGATATCAAGATCAAAAATGTATGTACGGCATTGATATATTTTGTTAATAATGACATCATTTATTTACGTTAGATCACAGATTATTATTTTTGTATTAACTACCTGGCGTAGTTATAAATGGAGTACAAAAATGTTTGGCCAAAATACCCTCCCTTGAGTGGTAAGTTTATCTTCCTGTGTAGCCACCTATACCGATAAAAATTGGCGGCATAGTTTCTAAAGTTGTTATTACATATTGTAGTATTGATTTATATGTGATTCATGCTGGGTCAAATGACCCCTTAAAAATGTCCCATGGGCTTGTAGATTATATATACACTCAGATGCAAAAAATCGCAACGGAGAAAATTTTGACTTATTGTACGGGGTTATCGAAAGGTGGTTTTTTATCTTAACTTTGAAACATCTTGTGGAATAATTCCGTTAGTGGATTTTCGTAAAACCTTGTTTTTCGGTTGCAACCATGTCTTCTATTATGTTTTTTGTTTCATGTGAAAATATGGATTGGTTTATTTTAAGGAGCGAAATGACTCTGTCACCCACAATTTTCGACTTTTCCTATTATTATCTTTTATATTAATTTGTAATACAATGAACTGGGCTTTGATGACTGATATCGAAGGAATGTCATATCGACATCCCAGACGCACTGTATTTAAATAATGATTAAAAGCAACGACATGATCTTGGTTTTAATGAACAATGATAACAATAATAGAACATAAAAAAAATAACTTAAATGTAACTTAACTTAAGTACGTAAATAACAAAGAAAAACTAGTAAAAAATAACTTAATACTTTGTATTACCTTCCCTAGCCTCTATAACTGCCTGTATACGTCGGCTCATGCTGTCTATGAGGTGTGAATATCATCTTGCTGGATGTTTTGCCATTCCTCTTTTAGAGCCAAGCGAAGTTCGTTAATTGAGGCTGGTGCGACTTCGCGACCTCTAATATTTCTACTACACATTTCCCAAACGTGCTCTATTGGGTTAAGATCTAGCAAACACGACGGCCAGTTCATTTTATTAATACCAACTTCCTCTAAATATTGCGTGACACACATTGCAGAGCGGGGTCGCGTATAAAACGATGATCTAAAGCGGTAGTTTTGCGCTTCCTGCCACTTCCCGCTTGTTTGTTCCAGTTCGTATAAAACGTTCCACTACCCTTTGGATGATAGAGCGATGAGTGTGTAGTAGTTTAGCCACATATTCATAATTTCGCCCATCTTCAACCAGAGCAACGGCTTTCGCACTCTTCGACACTAAGAACCATGGCCTGAAATCTTATATGATGACCTTGGTTCATTCCCCCATCACTTTAACCCCAACGAGTTAATAAAGAGAAATGACAGCCTATCTCTCAAGACTTTAACCAATCATAAACCAAATAAAATATTCAAACGAAGCAATGTCAATTCTGTCAAAAAAAATGACAGATCTTCCGTTTGTTTGCAAGTTTTGAATTTTATTTTATTATCTTTAAATTTTCGTTAGCATTTGTTGTAAGTAATTTTAATTTAAGTTGGTTACTTAGGTTTTAAAGTTTTGTTTGAGTTACCTATTGTAGCAAAGAATTTTTGTGTTGTGCTAGTAAAAAAACTAAACATGGTGAATTATTGTATTGTTCCGTTGTGTACAAATCATAGAAAAATTACAAAAAGGGTGATGATAGTAAGTTGTCAGGAAGCAAAAAATAATAGTATTTAACTTCTGAAAATATGTGTAATAAATATTATGTAATTAGTTTATAACTGTTTTATCTTAACAAATAAATATACGTGTATCTATAAAAAATTGTACATCTTTGATATATCGTTATTTTCCAGTAAATTTTAATTAGTAAAGAAATAGCCCGCAAGACGCGTTAAAGGTTATGTATGTAAGGGGTGTCCATTCGAATTTGCCGCCAAAAGATGATTAGTATTCCCCTCAGCCGCAAGGGGTCCCTAATGAACGAAATTTATACATTGAGTTGCCTATCTATTTCTACTATTATATTATTTATCTATGACTAAGAACCATGATTAATCATAGGTAAACAAAATATAAGTGTCAATATGACATAAGGATAACAGGCACCAAAGCCAGCTCGGCGTATTACAAAATAACTCGAAAATAATCATAATTAAAAAAGTCATAAATTATGGGTGGCAAATTCATTTGGCTCTAAAAAATGAATTAAGGCATATTTTGACATGAAACAAAAAACACAATGAAACCGAAAAATAAGGTTTTACGAAAATTCGCAACCGGAATTATTCCAAAGGATGTTTCAAAGTTAGGATAACAAAACCACGTTTTAATTAACCCCGTACAATAAGTCAAATATAAAATTTTATCAAAAAACTGAGTACACCAAAATAAAATTTATAAATTTATACAGTGTACAAAAAAATCATCGAAATAGGTGTAAAAGTAAAAAAGTGAAATACTTTGAGTGGTTGAGAAAACCAAAATTTTCTCCGTTAAGTTTTTTTTTCATCTGAGTGTAGTAAGCAAAAGTTAAACACTTCTTTACAAGATAAAACAGTAAAAATATAGGATTTACTCACCAGTGGAATATCTTCGTCGCTCTCTTCTTCCTGTTTGATCTCTGGTTTCACATCGTCATCCTGCAATTGACTTTCATCATTTTGTGATTGACTGTCTTCCTCTTCCCCGGCAGAATAACCGGAAAAGTTTGATTCCTCGTGCTTTATGCTAAAATCAACACTACTTGCTTGTGAGTTATCGGCCTGGACGCCTTCGTCTGCTTCATCTTGGCTCGCAGGATCATCTTTTATTACTAACTTATCCTCGTCGTCGTCTGTGCTAAAGTTTGCTTCCTCTTTCACAGGAGATTCTTTCGGTTTCACGATTTCCTCAGACTCTACTTTTACCTTTGTATCTTCTTCTAAAAGAATCCCATTTTAAATGAAAACAGTTACAAGCACGTATTACTGTTTTATGAATGTAACTAAACTTTAAACTAGGAAGGTAAAAAATAAAAGAAGTGACTAACTGTTCACCTAAGAAGAAAAAATGGTTTGTAGATTCGTTAATAACATATCGACGGTTGAAAGGTAAAAGGTTGTAACCCACAATTCACCTAAAACGGTTTAAAACATCAAATAAACTTGTTGATTCTTCTTTTAACTGGAAAAATATTGTAATCAAAATATGGCTGCAATAATTAGTAGTTTAACGTTTTTATTTATTGTAAGCCACATGAGTTGTAGATTGTGACAAGTAAACGGTTGTAAGTGCGATACAACATTTTATCAGTCACCATACCATGCGTCTCAGATGTAATCCAGGTAGAAAATGTACAAAATGAAGTAGAAATAGAGACTGAAAATGAAGAGAACCTTATAAATATAAATAGAGCAAAAAAAAAAAGATTAAACAAAATAAATCTGAGTTGCGAAAAGCAAGCAAAAAAAGGAGAAGCGTATATCAGTAACAGTAAGACCAAAAATCCAATGAGCCAAAAGCATTACGCCTTAACCCATGCACAGAAAATTGCCCAAACCGTTGAGGTTTAAACTTTGATAAAGAAAGAAGAGCAACACTTTTTAATAATTACTGGTCTCTTAGTAATGAAAGTAAGAGACATTTTATACTATTTTGTTTTACTGAATCGCCAAAAGCTAGAACTTATGTTAAGGGGCCAAGTCGAAGGGGCCGTACTTTCAAATATTATCTATCACTTGACAATGAAAAGGTAAAAGTTAATCTTCAGTTTCTTTTAAAAGCTTTGGACGTGGCTCACAGAATTTTGTCGTATACATTTGAACAGAAATCTGATATACACACTCCCAAACCAGATATGAGAGAAAAAAAAGGCTCCTCCCGATAAAACTAAAGATAATGATGAGTTAAAAGTTAAAATTTTCATTGAATCATTACCAACTGTTCCATCACATTATTGCAGAAATAATTCCAACTATATCTTCCATTGGAGCATGAAAATAAATCTAATATTTATAGAATCTATAAAAAAGGTTTTTGTCAGCAAGAAGGGGTAACACCTTTGACAGATAGTGTTTCGAAGAATTTTTAGTGACTCAATATTGGGATCCATACTCCCAAAAAAGATTAGTGTGCAATATGTGAAGGAAACAAGGAGAGTTATATGCAATCAGAAAGTTTTGCATCTCATATACAAGATCTAATACAGATTCAAACTTTTTATGTGTTTCCTTTAACCTTCAAAAAGTTCTGAATATTCCTCATGCTGATAATATGCTTCTGTATTATTCAAGGAAATACGCAATGTATAGTTTTGTATTATACGGATTCTGTTATTTATGGGGCGAATCTGATGACAAGAGGGGATCTAATGAAATATGCTCCAATGTATTTATCTAAAAGATTTAGAGATCCAAAGTCCTGAGGTGAACATAATATCGTTCTTTTGTGACAGTTGCCCTGGACAAAATAAAAATCGCCAAATGCTGGCAATGCTACACTATTTTGTCAAGGGATCTAAAACCATAGAGGAAGTAAATCTTACCTATTTGCTTCCAGGGCACACCTACATGCCAGCAGATTCTATGCATTCCGTAATAGAATCAAACTACCGAAAGAAAATTGTGTGGACCCCACGGAATGGCCAACAATTATTACCAACAGTAGAACAAATCCAAGGCCCTATGAAGTGATCACTTGTTCTTACTAAGACTTTCACAATTGGAAATCAGTGCAGGAAGTATAAGCGAAGCCTGTGAGATTCGTAGTGTATGAGGGGTGATTATAACGAAAAACGACTCCCACATTTTATTGTACAATACTGATGACACCACTGAAACTCCTAAAACAGTATGTGTCCAACAAGTCAGGCGTTCAGGCGGTAAAAAATGTTTATACCTCGACTGCCCGTAAGTGCTGCAAAAAAGGATTTAGCTGCATTATGTTTAAAATGATAATTCCTTCAAGATATCACAAATAATACCTTGAAATACCCTCCAGTACGTCGAAAATGGATGTTATTGGTGATGGGTCAATAGATTCAGAAAATTAATTATTTTATAATAATTTATGATTCTTATATTTTGCTGAATTTTCACAATGAATAAATATGTTTAATTTTTTTACTATTAAAAATAAAAAAGTTTCAAATAACTGAAAGCTGTACTTTATTTAAAAAATGTTGTATCCCACACGGAATCTGGAGACATGTACAAGTAATATGTTGTAAGTCACAAATTACAGTAAAACTTATTTTTTTGTGTTAAAAACTGTAATATTTCTGTTAAAATCCTTGGTACAACTAAATCCAAATTTATTTCCAGATTATCGCAAAAAATTATTAGGTTCATTCCTAGTAAAACTACTTAAATGGAAAGTTTTTTCTACTTCCTGAAAAAAGTTATTTTGTGGGTTACAACCATTTACCTTTCAACCGTCGATATGTAAGCTTAAAATAGATTTATAAAAAATGTTTTACCTGTGATAAAGAATTTCGCCCAAATTAAAATTATTACGAATTGAATAACTGAATATTTATATTTATTGCCGCTTCTTATCAGACAATAAAATAGTTTCCCCTCAGTCAATACTTAAAATACTTTAATGTTTAGGAAGTTGATAATTTTGCAAAACTTTTAAAACTATTTTTATGCCTGATTGAATAATTATTTAAGAAATATTCATAAAATATTATTATAAATCAACAATTCAATCAACAGTAGGTGAAAAATAGAAAAAAATATGTCTAAAAATTTAAGATAGTTTTTTTAACGAACCTATATTTTTGGATAACGGTAACGATTCATAAAATTGTTCAATATATGCCATAACTACTAAAAATTTAACAAAATGTATAATCACTGTCAAAAGAATGTCAAAAACGTAATAACAAAATTTTATTGGTTCCGTGACTTAAAGGTCAGGAAGATTTTACTGGATCAATTGCCGCCGAGACGTAAAAAATTGGTGTAAAAAATGCGTCTTATGTAATGGTAGAAAAGGCCCTAGAACAAGAAGTCGTGGTAAAATGGCACAATATCTTTACGGAGAGCCTTTTGAACGACTCGCAGTGGATATTCTCGGTCCACTTCCGATGACGGAGAGAGGAAACAAGTACTAAATGGTCTCAATGGATTATTCCTCAAAATAGCCTGAAATTGTACCTCTTCCTAATCAAGAAGCAACTACAGTAGTAGCAGAAGCATTTATAACGCATCGTATTAAGTTACGGAGTTCCTGCATCGTATTAAGTTAGAGTTATATTCTGATCAAAGACGAAATTTTGAATCATAATTATGGCAATTATTAATAAAAATCTTTGGTATTAAGAAAACTCGAATTACGCCACTCCATCCACAATCAGACGGAATGGTCGAAAGACATAATAGAACTGTTTGTCAATACCTTTCAATGTTTGTGGCTGATAATCAGGGCTTGAAACTGGGTTCATAGGTTAAGATACTTTAACACCTCTATTCCTGTTAGCCTATTTAAGTTCCAAACATGAATCATCTGGTTACTCTCTATCAATGATGATTACCGGAAGAGCAATGAAGCTTCCTCAAGATCTTATTTTCGGAAGATTGCCTGCCTGTGAAGAAGAGCTTTCATCCCTGACGTACATCGAAAATTTGAAAGAAAAAGTTGGAAAAAGTCTATAAATTTGCTCGTAAAAGTTTGAAGCTCCAAAGAAGAAATTTGTCCAAAATTCAACAAAACTAGGAAGCCCCGTACACCATTCTACAGAAAATAAACAACTTCCGATAGGGATACGAAATAAACCACTTCAATATGAACTACCTTCTGCAGAAGTTAGTTCATATCGAGAGACTAGCTCCATACCATGAAACTGATCCACCCTGTTGGCTTCAATTGATTCTTGATATTCAAGTTATTCGAGGCAAATAACTATATAGGAGAGAGCAGTGTTACGAAAATTCCTTTAGATTTATCCCAAGTCCAAAAAATCCCCTGACGAAAAAGAAGAAGTAGTTTAAGAACATTCAAGATGACATCGAAAATTCATGAAGCGAAGTTTGGAACGTCAGAAAATATACAGAGTGGCCCAAAAATCTGGAAACGACCAATTATTTCGTAAATTGCTAGTCATAAGTTTACAAAATTTGAGGCACACCTATTTTGGGATACGGAGATTCCATATTTGATATTTGCAATGTTGCCAGATTTGCCGTTTCTCTTATATTATTAGTAACTTTGGTTTTTCAAATTCATCACCCTGTATATTCAGTCATTATTGGAATCTCCTATTCAATACGAGTTCAACCATATGTAAGACTTACTGGATGTAGAACCGATAAATTAAAAGTATAGAAGAGTTATATTGTAATTTATAATTTATCGTGAAATGTTATGTTTGAAAATTGTATAATAATTATTGAGATGGAATGACAAAGAAAATATTTGGGTTGTAAGTACATCACAAATACCTGCTGTACTGGGGATAAATAAAGATTATTAAGGAATAAGGCCCTGTATGTTTCTTATTAACATTTCGTACCTGAAAATTATAAGGTAGGTATGAGTATGATGTGAAGATAATAATTATTGATGATAGGGGGTTGGGTTAAACTGTTTATTAATATGTGGATTTATTGAATATAAAAAGCTAATAAAGAGACAAATGTAATTGAATGAGGATTATGTATTATTCAATATATGGTAGGGTGAGATGTTGTTAGAGTGTTTATTTTGAATAGTGATGAAATTTTAATATTAACATTTATTGAATTTTAAAAAATTGGTTATATAGGAAACAAAGGTTAATTAATTAAAATTTGGGGTATGAAAGTATGGTTACGAAAGCTGGTTAATTGTAAATGTAGGTGGTGATAAGGCTCTTTATGTTGAAAGATAACATTTGGTTAATGGAAAGAATTTTTGTGTTGACTGGGTGTACAGTTGTTTTGTAGTTGACTGTTATAGAATTAATTGTTAACTGATTTATGTAAGGCTAATTGCATTATAAAAAAAAAACAACAAAATTGATTTCTAAAAGAGAACATAATGAAGCTAAAGAACAATTTGCAAATAAATATTAGTAAAGTAAGTGATGAATGTGTGACAAGTTATAATTAAAACTGTTGAAAGGTCAGAGTATGTTTATAAATGTATACCACTGTGTAGTGTGTTATAGTTGTAAGAATTGATTGAAAGCTGAATTATTGGTTAATAATAAGGCCCTTTATGTTAAAAGACAACATTTAGTACCCAGATAAATATTTTTATTGGTTGTGTGTGTGTGTGAAAAGGGTGTTACTGTACTACTATTCAAAATGAAATTAAGCTTTTTTTGTGTTTGTTTGAACCTTAAATGAATCATATAATAAACCAGGAATATTATTTATTAAAATGAATATTATGAGGGTTTTAGTATGATGTTATGTGGTAAAAGTAGGTTGTTGAGATTATGAATAAAGAGGTGGGTGTCTGATTAAGAAAAGTTTATCTATATACATTAGGTATTATTGGGAGTTGGCTTTAAGACATATTAGGTAAATTAAAAGATATGTAAAAGGACAAAGAAATGGTTAGAAAGAGATGTAAATAGGAGAGGTTGTATAGGATGTGGGTTAAGAGAATAGTTGATGATATTATATACTAAGAAAATCTTGTTGAAATGAGATGTGGTGATTAACGAAGTTGAGACTTCTTTGTTTTTCTAAGATTTCGTAAAGACCTTTTTGTTTCCTTAAATTTTATGGAATTAACTGAAAACATTACAATATACACACTTACAACAAAAAAATATGTATCTTTTCAGCTCCTAAATCGTATAAAATAGTAATGAGACTTAAATAGTGATGTAAAAAAGTACCTACTCCTTACAAAGTTGCAGGTATCTGTCCAATATGCAAAGTACTGATTCCTCCTTGTTAGAAATACTCATTACTTTTGGTACAGATATCCAAGCTAGTACACTAATTGAAATACCTGATGTCAGCAACGTACCTGATGTAATGTAAAGACCAAAGAAAAAGTATATTACATTGTTGATAAAAATTACAGATGCCTGCTGACATGGCGGTTTCTTTGATATTTACATTATTTAATAATTGTAACTATAATAAATAGGAACCTACTGTTGAATGAAAAGAAATGGAAGATGGTGCAGAAAAAGGATCGAATATTTCACTTTGTTAGTTTAAAATAATTGTTTGCTTTAAGCAAAATAAAATGAAACCTAAAAAAACCCACGGAGTTGATTAATGATGTGACAACAAGGTGGAACTCGTCATACTACATGTTTGAGAGACTACTTATATTATCGGTACCTTTGACTGAAACAGTTGGTCTTTTGCTAAAAATACTATTAAGCTTCCAACTGAAGGAGAATGGACAATATTGAAAGAACTTAAGCAGTCGACTACTTTCAACTGTAGAATGAATTAAAGTTGAAGTATTCAGTCAAGCAGTATTGTTTTAAAGAGCCAACAATTTAAACTCTTATTTTTCATCACAAAAAGTGAAAATTTGAAAAAAAGAAAGGGGAAGGTATTATTTTTTATTATGTGATGGACATGGATGTAATATGACTGACTTCCCCAAATCAAAGCAAAGGTCACACGAAAAGGTTTTTATACAGATACACAAAGGAAAATAGTACTTTCCACATATAGAACTTGTGTCCTAGAAGACAGACACCCAAATATGACAATAGTATCAACAATATTTACTAAAATATAAAATAGATTTATTTTGTACAACTAGAAAAAGTATAAAATGTTGCAATTTTGACTAATACATGCAAATCTAACATATTGGGTATACATATAAAATAAACAAAAAAGTTTAAAGTGTAATTTTGAAACATATGGAAAGTTATTGGAAAGATCAATAGATATTACAAACTGGCGGTTTAAAAAGTTTAAAGTGTAATTTTGAAACATATGGAAAGTTATTGGAAAGATCAATAGATATTTCAAACTGGCGGCTTTTTATAAAATTTTGGCAAATGTTAAAGAGAAATATGTATCAAAGATGCGAAATCATTTGGCATGATGAAACATCAAAAAGACACCTAAATGGTAAAAATCTATAAATATCTGGAAACTAGTATTAGAACGTCTTTAGTAACTGTTACACATCAAGTAACAACAATTAAATTAAAAGTACTTACCCAAATCTTTTTCCTTTTCAGGTTTTCTTTCTTTGTCCTTCCTATCTTTATCTCTAGAACTGGAATGATGTTTGTCTTTGTCTCTCTCTTTATCCCTGTGCTTATCCTTTTCTCTGTTTTTATGCTTATCTCGGTCCTTATCCTTGTCTCGTCTCTCCTTATCCCGGTCCTTATCTTTGTCTCTTCTCTCCTTGTCTCTTTCTCTATCTTTGTCTCTGGAGCTACTCTTATGGTCTTTGTCTTTATCATGGGAACTTTTATGTTCTTTATCTTTGGATGATTTTTTATCATCTCTATGCCGATCTTTGCTTTTATCTTTGTCCCGGTGTCTGTCCTTCTCCTTATCTCTGTCACCTCTCTCCCGATCTTTTTCCCTTTCCTTATCGCGGTCCTTATCTTTACTAGAGGATTTGTGTGAACTGCTGTGACGATCTTTATCTTTCGAGCTGCTGTGGTGCCTATCTTTATCTTTATCCCTACTAGAGCTCTTATGATCTTTACTTTTACTTTTTTCCTTATCTCGATCCTTTTCTCTATCCCTGTCCCTGTCCTTATCCCTATGTTTATCTTTGTGCTCTGATTTGTGGCTCTTGTGTTTATCAGAATAACCGTTTAGGCCATTCACATGGCTTGAATCACCGTTTTGCTCTTTGTTTGCCTATACGGACAGACAAAATTAATTAATACATTACTTAAAAATAAAATTTATAGAAAATTCATTAATTTTTATTTCACTAAATACACCATATCGTTGAAAATCACGAAAAAAACGTGGTTACATTTTACAAATACATACGCTTTCAAACAAGTCAATACGTGGGACTTAGTTTCTGACGCCATTTTCGGACTTAGAAAATTTTCGCATCACGCTTTCATGCCACATATAAACTGGCTCTATTTTACAAAAATTGAGAATTTCGTAAAAGTACAAATGTAAAAAATAAAAAAACAAGTTTAAATATGTACTTACTGGACAAGATTTTTCTTCATTAACAGAGTTTTCGACTTCCATTCCGATACAGATTTCACTCAAGTTATAAAACTTAGTGGTTCCGATTCCGAGACCGATCGGGAGATTGGAGATTGTCGGAGAAAGCAACAAGCAACGTTTTCGTCTAAGTGCTAAATTTCGCTTGTGCGCAGAATCGGTGGAAGGCAATAACCTTTCCGGCGCTATCATTTAAAAACTGCCTTTCGTTAATTACTAGTCAAGGTAAAATACGTCAAAACCTGGAGTTATCGTGCTAAAATGATATCAATATTTACCGTACTTCATCAAAGAAACCGTTTGTATATATAAATAAGTAATAAACGTTAGGTGACACCTAATAAACTGAATAAAGAGAACTACTCACATGATTGTGATGAGAGCAATCTCACATTATATATGTGGATCTTATGTTTAACTTACTCGTAGTATACTATAATGATCAATTATTTTGTAAAACAGGATTATTAAAAGGCTATTTTACAATTAAAATATCTTCTTTCCACACATTTAAATTCAGGTTGCCATTAATTTCCGGAATAAATTGTGGTGGCATCTACCAGAAGAACAAAATAATATTAAACTTTTTCTCTTATACTGACATCTATCAGATATTTGCTCAAGTTCTGTTGGATATTTGACATTGACACGCCATTGTAGAAAAATGTATTGGCGATGAACCGCAAAGTGTGCGATGCCTGGTGGTAGGTTTCAAAAGTATCCACTTCGGGAAAACTTTGAAATTTTCATTAATTTGTTGTATACATATACTTACATATCAAAGAATATAGACGCTTATCTATATTCTTTGTACATATTAACGACCGGTTTATATTGTAATCAACAATGACTTCGACTTTAAAAAACTATTGCAGTGTTCCTCAATGTTCATCCTATTATAATTCACAAAAAATTCCATACATAAGTTTCCGTTGGACGAGAATATGAGAAAAGTTTGGCAATACATTTTGTGAATTGGCAAACATATAACCAAGTACGCGACTGTGTGCAGTTTACATTTTACTGAAAACGATTACTTTCCAAGTGTTGATTAAAATATTATTTATATTTTAATATATTTATACTTAATTCACTTTATAGTAACACCTAAAACTAAATTAAGAAGACTGAAGAAAAATGCTATTCCATCAGCTAAATTGCCCCAACGGTCTCATGAAGTTATTAGTAGAAAACGTAAGGTGTAATTTACAAAATATAACGTGGCCAGCTCCAAAAACTGCCTCACTCTCAACTAAAGATCTCTGCCGATCTTGCAACCATATAAATAATTAAGATAATGTAAATTTTACTTCCCGTGTTACAGACATACTGTAGAAAAACAAACATTTAATTTAATTTTTATTCAGGTTTGGGAGTCAATTACCTTATGTATAAACTCGAATCACAAACAAATAAACTTTGAAGAATATACTCCAACTTTTACTTTGGCAAAACAGACGTGTAAATTATTTATATTAAATATTAAACGTTTTGGTTTTATAGCTTAAATATCAAATGACAAAATGATTTGTTTTCCCATAGTTATCGTCCATCTTTGAAATCTTCAGCGCCCCCTGTCGGAATTGGCTATCGCGAATAAAAGTAAATATCATTTTTAGGTTAAGGTAGAAATTTGAAAATAAGAAAATGTTACTATTTAATTTTTAAAAATAACTACCATGATTAAAAACATTTTACAAAATGGACAAGTTACTTCACACAAATATAAAAACGGTAAGAAACTATCTTTAAGTTTTACGCATGTCTATATTTAAAAATACTTCAGGTTTCAAAATTACTATTTGATGGGGCCGTAAAACCAACAGAATTATTAAATTTAGCCCTAAAAAGGGTCGAGGAAACTAAACAGGTAAATGCGTTTATATCTGTTACATCAGAACGAGCGAAACTTCAAGTGATTGAATCAGAAAACAGATATAAAGAGAAAAAACCTTTATCAGAGTTAGATGGTGTTGTGATAGCTGTAAAAGACAACTTCTGCACGGAGGATATAAATACAACATGCGCCTCGAATATGCTAGAAAATTTTGTACCATCATATAATGCTACAGTCTGTCAAAGACTTTTCGATGCTGGAGCAATCTTGATAGGAAAAACCAATTTAGATCAATTTGCTATGGGTTCTGCTACCATAGATTCTATATATGGGCCGACAAAAAATATATGGAAATTAACTAGTGAAGATTTTTATCTTGCTGGTGGCAGTAGTGGAGGGAGTGCAGTTGCAGTAGCTGCTGGTACTTGTTTTGCGTAAGTCATCAATAATTGTTAACTAATTTAATATATTAATACATTTTTTAGAGCGTTAGGTTCGGATACAGGTGGTTCTACAAGAAATCCAGCTTCATACTGTGGAATTGTTGGTTTGAAACCAACTTATGGATTGGTCTCACGTTTAGGACTCATTCCATTGGTAAACTCAATGGATGTGCCAGGAATTCTGACAAGAACCATTGATGATGCTGTTTCAGTGCTTAATGTGATAGCTGGATATGATGAGAAAGATTCAACATCACTCACAAGACCTTATAGGAAAATAAGGTTGGTTATGCTTTTACAAAATCAATCAGATTTTCAATTATTTTCTGTAATTCTAAATATGATCATTGGTATCAAGACGTCAAAAATAATCATCATCAAATTGTTAAATATAGGGTTAAACTTGTGTCGAGTTCCTTTTTCAAATTGATCCCTGTGTGGTGTGGGCCCCACGTTGGGAAACACTGTTCTAAACACCAAAAACATCGGTTTCTGTCTTACTCTTTCTTAACTAGTTCTAGAGTCATACATTACTAATTTGGGTATATTTTAGGTTACCCCCTGCATCGAAAATGAGTATTAAAGGTCTTAAAATTGGCATACCTATAGAATATAATTCAGAACATGTATGTGATGAAGTATTAGATACCTGGAATGAAACAGCTGCGATGTTACAAAATGAAGGTGCTGTTATTAAAGAGGTAAGGGAGTTTATCTATTTATACAAAAGGGAATCTAACAGATTTGTTCAAAACAGTCCAATTCTGTTTATGGTAAGTTCTATTTCTCAGGTATTCAGAGGGCTATGGAGCGCCAGATTTTGGGTGTCTCTCTGAGAAACCAAATGCCAAATGAAGAAATATGTCTAAAATGCAATTGGGCCAGACATGTCACCAGATTATCAGACAGCCGATGGATAAAACATATTGTCAAGTGGAGACCAAGACAAGAAGTGGTACAGAGCAGAGGACGCCCACCAACTAGATGGACTGATGACCTGAAGCCTGTTAGCAATATCTGGTTGCGAGCCGCGCATACAGGTTGATGATGATGAAGTTCTGTTTAAAGTTGGAGTTTTTATATGAAATTTACTTTTTCTATAACGGATGTCATCATCTAATGCATATATAAATACTTATATGAATTTTAATGTTCTTGCATGGATTCTCCTTCTTTAAGTGGCATGTCCTCCTAAATGTTGACAATTAGCTGCTAACTCCATATCATCGATCAAGATTCTTGAGCCACATGTCTTTCTACCCCAACCACGTTTGTCTTTGGTTAATTATTGTATTACATTATACAAGGCATTTTGAATAACATGGCCAAAATATTCTAAATTTTTCTCTTCTTGGTGGTGTTACCAGATGCAATTCGCTTAATACATACTTATTCATTTTTGTGATAGTTTACACAATTTTTCCACTGCAGAGGTGCGAATTAATAAGAGAAGATTGTAATCCTATCCATCTACCGAACAGAAAACCCAGAAGTTTTAATAAACAAATTAGACCAAATAATTTGTGATTTAGTTGACAAGGACTCCATCATTTTTCTGGCTGGTGATTTTAACTTAGATATGCTGCTTGAGGGTATGAGGTGGCCAGACACATTAAAAATGTTTTTGTGCTTCTTTGATATTGAACCTTCCATCAAAGACTATATATGCATACAAGGTAACAATAAATCCTGTATAGATAATATTTTTACAAATCTTGACATTTTGATTCTCTTGTATTCAATCTTCATACATCTGATCATGCTCAAAAGATAAAATTTGAATTAAATAAATTTGAGTCAAATATAATAAAAAAAAACGAATATTTAGCAAAGGGAATAACCATTTTTTTTTTAAATTCATGTTAGGTAATCTGGGTATCTGTTTTTGAGACATTAGAGGTAGATAATCAGGGGGATGCTTTTATGAATATAGTTTTTATAAAGTGTTTTTCACTCAAAGAGATAAATACAGTAAATAAAAAAAATCACAAAACTATTATAAAAATGATGATATAGAACATTGTAAATCTAGGCTTAATATTTTGTTTACATTGTCTACCAATAATGTTGATTATAAAGATATTTACAGGACAGAAAAACGCAAATAGAATTCTTTACTCACTGAATCTCGAAAAAATTGCTATAAAGAATGAATTAAAGATAGCTAAAATAAAAACTAAAATGGCTTGGCAATTGGTAAAAGAGATTAAGGATAATTCCAAAAATCAAGATAATTTCTGTTTGGAGGGTAACCCTCAGGTGCTTTCTAACAATATAAATCAATTTATAGCAAATGCAGCGCCAGAAACTGTAAAGAAAATAAAGCATGTAAAAAATTTTCAAATTAATATAGAACAAAATTATCATTGCATGTTTTTAACTCCCGTTTCAGAGAAAGAAATAAGTCACATAATAAATAACTGGGTTTTTTAAAAACATGGTTTTCTCGCAGGCAAAAATTTTAGAAAAACTAGAGGCAAAGATGAAAACACTAGGTGCTTTTTTGGACCTATCTAATTCTTTCGATAGCCTATATCATGTTCTTTTATTTCAAAAATTACATCTTTATGGAATGCAGGGTCAGCATTAAAGTGGATAAAATCATTTCTCACAGATAGGTTGGAAAAGGTATGCCTCGAGAAAAGGGGATGTCAGGTTTACTCTGAACCGATCAAATTTAAAATTAGGCATACCACAGAGGAGTGACTTGGGGCCGTTTTTCTTTTTGGTCTTAATAAACGACCTTCCAAATGCGGTGGTTGGTAGTTCCTCAAACATTTCGCTGATGACTTAAATGTGCTTTTCTGGGAAAAAAACATTAGAAACACTCCTCACAGTGGCAGAGCAAATTCTTCAAAATTCTAGGCAAGGTTGAACAGTGGTTCAGTGGAAATCAGTTGTTGCTTAATACTGATAAAACAGTTTTTGTTCGCTTTAGAACCAACCTGTCAAGAGAACAGTTTCCAGTAACAATCAATTTTC